TGATCATTTTATTAGTAAAATTCGTGCCCTGATCCGTGAGTACTTTCTCCGGTATTCCGTGTTCTAACACGATTTTAATAACAAAAACTTTCGCGACTGTGGCTGCTTCCTGATTTTCTACGGGAATTGCTTTACTAAATTTCGCCAAGCTATCTTGGAATGTCAAAATATATTTATTTCTGCTATTTGTAATAGTTAGTGGTCCTACAATGTCAAGGGCGCATTTCTCGAATGGTCTTTGTGGCGTATCCGTAATTGATAAAGGCATTTTCTTTTGCTCAGTTTATTCTTTTGGCAGTATTCACATTTATTTATATAATCTTCGACATTCTTAGTAAGTCCATTCCAATTGTGAGTTAATCGGATTCGATTTAAAGTTCTTGTGACTCCCTGGTGTCCTCCCATAGGTAAGTCGTGATATTCGTGTAATATTTGCAGTTTATCTTCTTCCGAGTATTTTCTCGGCATTTCTTCTTGATGAACGTTATTTACTTGTGAGTCCTCCACTATCGGGTTTCAACGTCTCAATGCGTCTGCGTTCGCATTCATTTTTCCTGCCTTGTGGACGATCTCGTAATCGTACTCTTTCAGCTTGAGTCTCCATCTAATTAATCTTGAGCCAGGGTCTTTTACGTTAAATAACCATATTAATGGTCTATGATCAGTAATTATTTTAAATTTCGTTCCATACACACATAAGGTCGGAAATGTTTTACGGTCCATACGATGGCTAATCATTCTTTTTCCGTCGTATTATAATTTTGCTCCGTTTTGTTTGATACTCTACTGGCATATGCCATCGGCCTGTCTTGTCTTACTGTTCCTTGTGATAACACGGCTCCGATTGCATATTCGGATGCGTCTGTAGTTACTAAGAATCTCTGACTAAAATCTGGGTAATTTAATATAGGTGCAGTAGTTAGTTTTTCCTTTAATGTTTTGTACGCTATTTGTTGTTCGGCTGTCCAAATAAATTTTCCCCTTTTCTCAATAGTTTTGTTAAAGGTTTTGCAATTTTAGAAAAATTTTCGATAAATTTTTGATAGTATCCAGCAAATCCGAGAAAAGTCTGTACATCTTTTGATCGTTTGGGCGTTTTACACCTTATCACTACTTGTATGTTGGCAGGGTCTGGTAGTATTCAGTTTTCTGAAATAATGTGCCCTAAATATAATACTTTTTTGCGTAAGAATTCGCATTTATCGGGTTGAAGTTTGAAACGATATTTTTGTAATCGCTGCGGTATTTCGATTAGACGCCTGTTGTGTTCGGCCAAAGTTGCTCCGTATATTACAACATCGTCGAGATAAACGAGACATTTGATACCTTTTAATCCCATTAGTGCTGCTATTATTGCTCGCTGAAAAGTCCTTGGCGCGTTCTTTAGTCCGAAAGGCATTCGGTTAAATTCGTAGTGTCCATTTGGTGTGGAAAATGCTGTCTTCTTTTTATCTTTTTCATGCATCGGTATCTGATGGTAACTGGATGCGAGATTTAAGGTTGTAAAATATTTTGCTTTTCCTAATTTATCATATATTTCTGCAATTAATATTTGGCAATGGGAATGAGTCTCCTATTGTAAGGTAGTTGAGCTTGCGGAAATCTATAACGATTCGAAATTTTATTTTTCCTGAAGCGTCAGGTTTTTTAGGTACTACTAATATTCGAGAATTCCACGGGCTCGTACTAGAGCGGATAATTCATCCATTCTCTAGCATCTTGTTAATTTGTCGATTTATTTCCTCCTTATACTTCTCTGGCAGGCGATATGGTCGGACGTTTACCGGCGCGTTATCTGCTCGCGTCGGGATTTCATGTTTCACCGCCGGGGTACATGTTAGCTTGTCATTCTCTAAATAGAATACATCGCAATAAATAATCATCGCATATTTGCTCTAACGCTTTTCTTTCCTCGTTATTTAAATGATCCATTCTTAATTTACGACGTAATTTTTCGCATCGCTCTGTAATTGATTCGCGCTCTTCTGTCGGCTGTAACGTGAGTATGTCGGCCGTGTCAGTCACCGGTACAGTCTTCTACAGTTACATGCGGTGATTATTTCGACGGGCTTTTTAGTAACGTTTACTAGCTTATATTGGACAGATAAAATCTATCGGTTTTACCATACAGTTACCGATGAATACTCCCGGAATTGTCTCTTCACCCTTTACGATACCTACTCTATTAGTGTTGGTTATCGCGGATATTATTGTTTCGCTGCGCGGCGGTAAGGTAAACTTTCGATACGGCTGTAATTTAAACGTTGCGGTACCGATTTTCAATCGATTTTTGGCGTGATTGGGAACGGCTCGATGTTTTTTCAGAAAATCAATTCTTATCAGAATGCCTTCGTAGTTCATCGGGAAATCGTTTCGTACTAACGTACATCGTATGCCGTAGAGTTTCCTTGCCTACGAGTATTGTAGCTCGTATTTTTCCGAGGGTGCATTGATGTCCAGTTACGCCGGTTAGCGCTATTCTCTTTTTTCGTATTTTAGTCTTATCTTTTAATTTTCCTACCTTTATGAAGGTGGAAATGGCGGCTCCGGAATCAAGCAAAAAATTTAGTTTTCCCTTAGTTGCTTCTCGCATCGGGAGAGTGACGAGGTCTAGATTAAAGTTCTTATTCGTTTTACCTGTCACTTGAGCTACTCGGTACTCGAGCGCGTGTCGCGTCTTACCCAGCGAGAAATGACCCATCGAATCGACGTCTAATCGACGTCTAATCGCTGGGTATACTTTCTCGGTTTGTTCCGGGTTCGAGCCCCGGTAGAGCTAAAAAAATTATATTTGCTCGTTCTTTTCTCGGAAGGCAATGGCAAACCACCGAGAGTATTCTTGCTATGAACACTTCTCTAAAAAAAAAATATAGCCGTTCGGAATCGGCGTTAAACTGTAGGTCCCATTACAATGTGTATAATCTACGTGCGCAACACATGTATATGAAGAGAAGTCACCACGGTCGGACACGAGTAATAGGACTGAGGATGATGATCTTTCATTAATGATATTAATTGTCTTTACAATTAGTTGTAATTTATAATAAAATAAAAGTTTATATGTAGTATTTGTACATTAAATATGCGTGTACAAGATGAAGTGTACAAATTTATGATTATAACTTATTTAAAATAAGACTAAATTATAAATATTTTGTTTTACATTGTTTCCATATTTCTAATTAATTTGAAATTAGCTTACGTTCTTGCAGAAAAAGACTTCGTGGTGTGATAATAATTAAATTTGTTTGGGAAGGATATCGCCCGTTTAGATCTTCGCAGTAGCGAACCTTCGAGGACTGACTTAATAGAGGCAATTTTGCTTTTATGGTCGCTCTTAATGTCGGTTATATAGTCTTGCTTGCACAATTGTTCGTTTTATGTACTTAGCGATCGCTTAATTGTACTAATATGGTTTTATGTGATCGCATTCTATCACGAAGTTACTCATAATAGTACTGTTTTGCGATTGTTTCAATTTTCGCGACTGTTGAAAGAACAAAAGTTTCCTCGTACAAAAAGCGCTTACGGTGTTAACGATTCGCTCGAATTAGCGTAAGTAGCCGAGTTTAAAATGGAACCGACAGAGAGTCTCCGTCGGTTTCATTTTAAACTCGGCTACTTACGTCGGAGACGCAGGTGATGTTGTCACAGACGTTGTAACAACGTTTTGCTAGCCGCGAATTTTGTCATTAGTCCAGAGAACCGGGGAGAAGTAAACAACTTTGCTTTGCGATTCCTCGGACAATCTACGGCTGTTATCTTCCACTGAAAGTTATATGAGGGGGCCATCAACTTTTTCCCATTCCAAGCGCGATGTAAAATTTTTACCAAAGCGAGATTCATCCAATATTAATATATTGGTAGCATATCGATTTTGTCTTTCTCGCATCTTTAATTCATACTGGACTCTCGACTGGCAGCGGCCATCGTAAATGAATAATCCCGGTGCCATTTACCGTTTGCATCTCCGCGAGACAGGACGTTTTAAATGGATCACCCTCTATATATTAACGTATGTACGTAGGCGATGAGGCTCGTCAGCGACCTAACTGGTAGCGACGCGACGATGCCTGGCTTGGTAAATCTTGCGGCGGACCGCGGCCGGTGCATCTCGCACCGGAAATCTCGAAAGGCCACAAACCCGAGTCGAGTGTGACCACGTCTGCGGTTGATACTCTCGAAGCACTTTCGAAAGGTGATTCTCGAAATTTGCCATGACTACCACTCGGCGGCTGCAGCCCGGAAACCGATATTCACGTAGATCTCTCAAACTCGTGCCTCGCCATTGATTTCGTCGATGCATATATACGTCCTTCGAATTCCCAATTTTGCAGTTTGGAAGTGGAATGAACGGCGAGGCAGGAGTGAACCAAACAGAGAGATTTTTATAAAACTAACTGTAAACGCAACCTTGCAGAAAGTTTGACGAATTGAATTTTCTCCTCTCTTTTTATTCCTTTTCTTTCTGAGTTCTTTTTATTCTGAACTAAATTAAATGTTGAGTCAAAAGATTAGGATTAAAAAAATAAATTGTTGTTTTCTCGGATTTGCGTGAATTTGTTTTGGTATATATTAATCGCAGGAGCTGAGGAGTTGGAGCACGGAAAGAGGGTGGAAGAAGCGGCCAGGAGAAGGGGCGAAAGGGAGCGATGAGGAAAAGAGGGCAAGGTCCGAAAGGGCGGGGGGGGGGGTACCAGGATGTAAAGGGTCGCACGTGGTCAGGTCGGGTATAAGGGGATTGTATTCTGTAAAGGGTTGGATACGTCACATGTGTTGTATGATGGTTGTAGGATATTTGTAAGAGGACCGTTCCTCGAGAAAAAAACGCCTTTCAAACCCTGAGGGGAAAAGTCTATTTATATATTAATTCCAGGCTCGCAGATTAAGCCGAGGGGAATATACAGGTTCCCTACTCGCGTGCGTGATGTTTTTATTTCAACCAGGATTTGCGGATCTGCCGAGGATCTCGTTAAATAATTGCTTTGTTCTCGTTTCAGGAGATGGCAACGTAACGTAGCAGGTGACTACTAACCGGCACGAGATGAACACGAACGGCAACGCGGTCGGGCAGGAAGGTGGTGCCGGTACCGATTATGGGAGTAACGAGGAGACGGAGGCTCTGCTGGGCAGGCCGCCGCCGCCGCCAGTCGTGGTGGCCGTGGCGTCTCAGGGCAAGCCGGTTCTCACGCGGCAGGATCGGGCGACATTCCCCGTCACCTCGCCGCAACTGTCCGTGTCCGGGCTCGGCGGCTCCGAGGAGAGCGGCACCAACGAGGACCCGGCTACCAGATCGGTACCGGACATCGAGCTTCACTGTCGGCTGGACGGGGGCGAGCCGCAGCTACTGCCGCCGCCGCAGATTCAGCAGCAACAGCAGCAACAGCCGCAGCAGCAACAGCAGCCGCAGCCGCAGCCGCAGCTCCAGCAGCCACAGGTGCAGCAGTCGCAGTTGCAGGCGCAGCCGACGTTCTACCGGTCGTCCAGGCAGTCGCATCAGTACAGATGCAGGTGCGACCGAAGGGATTCCCTTGCGCCCACTTCGGCTCTTCATTTGGCCCGCAGCGTCTCCAGGTAAATTTTAGATAGATAGATAGATGAGAAAAAAAGAGAACAGCAACGGTGCAACCATATGAGAAACGCTGCGTGATGTAGTAAATTACTGTTGAAATTTATGCTACAGAAAGAGAGAAATAAAAATTTAGGAAATTCAGGAAAAGCGAGATATGATATAGCACGAAATGTTCAAATCATTAATATTTTTCTTTTTCATGGCTAATGGCGTAATATCGTATTCCGTGTGTTGCAATTTAGTTCTCCATCATTATACGATGCTAAACGTACAATGCGGCCTTCACCGCATAAAGAAACATTTGATACGACCTGACTTTTTTTTATTTAATAGAGATGATATAGATATATAGAAAGAATCGTTTTTTGTGTCTGTTCATCAATATGGCAGTGGCATTTATTTTCCAACCGCTCATACGGCGCACGGTACGTGCGGTTTCACATGTTACTACGCGTACGTAGGAAAAGTGTAGCCGTTTATTCAGTCAGAAATGTAAAACGAGCGCACAAGCGTAGGTGTATATATTTGCGCGGTTAATATAAACTTAAGTAAATGTTAGTTAAACATAAGTAAATGTTTGAAGTAACGAAATATAAAGGCGACAAAAAGAAAGCTCTAAAACTATTACTGCGAGCAGCCACATTTATTTTCAAAGAACCATTCAATTTACTATTAAACGACGGCTATTATTAACCAACAGTACGCCCCGAGCGAAATAATAAAAAGTTCAAATGTTACTCGTTTGAATGAATGACGACCGTGGCTCGTTCACGCGCGTATCGCGACGTGTGCTAAAAACGGACGGTTTTGTTACATAGTTGTTACTTACATTTGCATCGCATGACAAGCGTTAATCTATGAGAATTTAGCACGTGTCGAAAGAAGGAAACGACAGTTGTGCGGCTTTAAACACGCATAGAAAGTTTGGACTTGTGTAATTGGCAAAGTTTAACTACTTCGCGAGCATTAGTCGACCGCGCCGTCGTATAAACTTGCATTTGTATGTAACAGAATCGGGGATGGATAGTTCCAGACGGTTCTCCATAGAAGAACGCGAAATACGAATATGTTTTTCCACGTTTTCGATATTGCTTATGATTTCGTTATGTCCTCTTTGCATTTATTATTGAACGCCGTACGCTATTCCCGATATACTACTGGGACGATGATGTCCCAGGTGCGGCACACACATAGAAAGTTTTCGATATTCATTGTATAGTATATCCAATTGTTGATATTATCCATTACAATTCCGAAATTACATGAAAACATTATCCTTCGCATTAAGAGGATATTTAAGGATGTATGTCAGACAGCTTACAATTAGTATAATTTTGTTTTCTTGATTAAACAGTGTAGAGCTAATCTCAGAAATTATTCATAAACAACATGGTATTATTGGGACAGAAAAAGCGTAAAAATCGCAATTTTGCCCCATTTTTGTACTTGATATTGTTTAAATAAATCATTAAAAAATTGAAAAAAAATATAACCAGAAAATCTTAAAAAACCGTAATTGCAATTCTCGATGTCATAGAAGTGTACCATAACAATTTCATTTATTTTTACCGTACATGAGCAGAGATACATATTATGATATTTACATGGGAAGTATATCTATATATATACAATTTCTGTAACTTTTAAAGCAAATATCTCAGAAACGGGTCGGACAATTGATCGCAAATTTAATACAGGTTTTTGGGATATATAAGTGCACAATCTCTGTAAATTTCAACTTTATCCTGTTATTTTGACATAAGTGACATACATCCTTAAAGACCGTGATCTCGGTTTTCTCATCAATTTCCTTTACGCGAGAAGAATAGCTGGGAGTGCCGTTCCTGAATCAAAGAACTTTGTATTTACGTGGATTTTTATCTGGGATTTATCTGGGCCGCGAGGAGAAGGGAATCTATTCGTTGCGAATCGGCCACTTTCATCTAAGTGCGCCCGGCAATTCACCGCTGGGAATCGCCCATCCTCCCAGAAATGCGTTGCTCTTGGAAAAATGCGACGCCTTTGTTTCCTTGAACGAGGATCGTCCAGGCAGAAGAGGCTTTCTCTCTTTGCCGGTCCGGGGGAATTTCTGGCGCTCGCCGCCTTCGCGAGTTTCTAGGACAATCTCGTTCACCGGGTCAAAAGTTGAGCCGCTGAATTTTATGTCGTCCTGTAACCCCTTCGGAGACCGGGAAAACGTGCATTGGGGATTGCCGCGGGAGGTACGGCATATAAAAAAAATGGCATTGCCAGGAATTCCCGACGTGAAAATCGCGTCGTTGACCTTTCATTTTACATTGACCTTTTCCGCCACCGCGCATTCGTAGCTATCAGCTGCTTAGTACAATTTATTATGTATTACGTTTATTCTCATTTTAATTTTCATCAGACATCGAGCGCATGTTGAATTGAAAGGACAACTTATGTGTTATAATCTCAAGAGATGACATACAAAATAAATTGATGCATTAATAGTTTCATATCAAAGTATTGAAAGGATTGCAATAAAGTTTGACAAGTACAAGAAAAGTAGTAAGACAGTATAAGAAAGAATAGCAAAACTTAGATTAATTTCAAGTTTACTTTGTGTCAAGGTACCGCCACTTAAGATTCATCCTGCAAGAAGTTTAATAAATATAATTGAAGATTTGTTCCGAAAGATTTCAGGGCACAAAATACGCAACATATTGCAAGGTCGAGTGACATCGTTTTATATCGTATTCTGGCTGGTACAGCATTGTCATTGAACGATATCATATTTATTAATTAAGAAAGTTATGCTTCTGTAAACATGTCTTTTATAACTTTGACGTAAAATAAGTATATTGGGAACCATGAATAAAAGATCCATTGTTATCCTAAAGAGCCATTCAGAAGCCAGGGAACTTCAGTTTTCACCGAAGGTCGAAGTACACGACAGTTAATGATATCTTTAGACGACAGGCTCACCACTTGTCTTATAAGCCGAGGACTCTTGACTTAAGGCGCTTTTAGACAAAGAATGATATGCCGAACATATCTTAAAATTCCAATATCCGACAAAATCAAATTAGACGTCCAACCAAGGAAGGGTTCTCCCGCGAAGAAATCTCACGCGATAATTTTATCAGCAATCTCGTGTGTGTATCATGTATTCGAGAGTCTAGAAATACCGCGTCCCTTATGATTTCTTTAAACATCTTTGATTCTTCTGATAACAAAAAGAATTGAAGTTATATAACATTAAGTAACGTTAAAAGATTAAATAATTAATTGCGAATGCAACTTTTGTTAAAGTAAAGTTTAGTAAAGTATAATTAAAATTGGTTGAAGTTTTGTAAGCGATGCTAGAATTCGGAGAATTAATAATTTGAAATCTGAAAAGTTTCCGTTAATTTCGCTTACAATATGGAAATTAGCCGATACTGTGGTGTTGAAATAATTATTATTCCTCATATCTGCAGCCGAAAGAGACCTTTGAGACACCAATTGCACGGTGCCACCAATTTAGCGGCGAAACAGTTTTCAGTGAAATTAGTCCACGGACGAGTGGGCCATGTGCAATATTGGATCACGTATTTGAGACTATCAGTTTAACTTTATAGTCTACGCCAGCCGTGAAACTATACCAACCGTACAATTTTCAGACACTATAAACGACACGGGAGCAACCATAACATCGGTATTATATTTTGCAATCAAGTTTTCTCTCTCGCTTTCCTCTCCCTGTTTAATATTCTTTTATAATGTCAACCTGCGATATTAATCACGCCAACGTAGCTAGATATTAACTTACGCTCAATATTAACGTACGGTATCAAAAAATAAAAATTGAGGAAATGAGAACAGCGCGATATTAAAGCTAGTTACGGAAGTTAATTTCATTTTTTATCTACTAGCAGACGGGAATGAAGTGAATAACCAGAAATTAATGGAGTTTCCTAACAGTGGAAACTAAGCGATCAGTTTTTAACTTTAATTCTTGGAGAGATAGATAAAGTTATTCATGATACACGTTACTTTTCTCTCTTTCTCTCTCTCTCTCTTTTTATCAGACATCTATATATTTTTCCTTAGAAGACATCTTTGAATATCGCTTATCTGTCGATTGCCGGAGTTCTCTCTTCTGAAAATTGGATTATTGATCATTGATCCTCAAAGGGTTAAAACGTCCGGGTAAACGAGTAACGTTCCCAAGCAAGTTAAAGCGCCCGCTTGGGATTTTGCAAAGAGGGGAAAATCGAAATTTCAGACGTCAAGGTCTGTGTGTGTGTGCGCGTAAAGCGACGTGTATAATGTTTTCTGTTTCCGAAGAGAGAGCGTGAAGAGCGGCCACCACTGCTGCCCGTGTCAGGCGCCGCCGCCGCCGGTGTTGGTCACCACGTCGCCCAACGCCCGCATAATACGGCAGAGCTCGCAGCCGGAAGCGTCCGCGTGTTGTTGCTCCGGCTGTTGCTGTCCGCTGCACACCGGCGCGGCGCCGAGCGCTGCCTCGCTGCGGCAGCTCCGCGAGCCCGGCGATGGGATTGCCGGCATCGCCGCGGACTCGCTGCGGATCAATGGCGGCATACGACAGTTCCGGCAGGTAAGCCGTGACCTCACCGTCTCGCTGTCTTTCGCGAGTCTAACGCACAACCGACCGCCCCCATAATGCAAGAATACCGCAACGGCGACGCATTTATTAGAATTGAGTCTGGCGCGGCGCGTTCTATTTATCTTCTGTCGAGAAACAATAAAAAAAGAAAGAGTTAGTTTCATGGTTGAGGTTGCTTTTCCGGAAAGTAAATTTTTTGAATAAGTTGATTATCTAAATTGCATTGGGTTATAAGTTTAGGAAAAATAAAGAAGAAATAATTAGTTTTGTATCCTACATAATTTTTTTGGAAAGGAGAAATTTCGAGCAACGATTTGGATATAAAAGTTACTTATATATCTAAATTATGAATTACGAATCAGTTAAATACAGAATATTAATATAATCATCTGCAATGAATGAATATCAAGTACCAGGTCGAGGATCGATAAAATTTGTTATACTCTAATCGACATAGAGTATTAGTTACATTACATGTAATATAATTTTGCACTTGCAATGTAAATTTAATACAACGCATGTTGTTATATTAAATTTACATTGTTGAGTGTGAAATTCACGTAGAAGTAATGTAACTGACGCTTTGTGTCGACTACAACTCGAGAACTAACTATAAGAGCAAACAAATTAATTACTTTAATTAACTGCAACAAGCCATCATTTCTTTTCCACGGTACAAATACTATTACCAAACTATTATACTATTTTTAACGAACGTTTCGTGGTAAATAATATAATAGAATAAACGTGAAATAAATATGTATTTATACGTGAATTATTAAAGATCCGAAACGGAGCAAGCGGGACAAATTTATATATCGAGCAGAGCATAACGGATCCCTCGAGGCTTGAAATTCGTGTTTGAATTGCGGAACAGATGGCTGATTTATCATGTCGCCATTATGCGCAGTTTGGTATTCTTACATCGTGGGCGGCGTCACCTGTGTCCAGCACAGCACCGCCGAATCCTCCCACACGTGTTTCTCCATTTGTCCACCTCTCTGTGTTTCTCTTTTTCTCGTGTATGTCGTTTGTTTTCACTTCCTCTGTTGAGTTGGTTAGTTCTGCGGAGAAGGAGACGGAGAGAAAGGGTTGTATTTAATTGGCAAACAATTTTGTTGAATGAGAGCCGGAGGAAACCGCGAGGGAGTATCTTATTGTTGTTCACTCAGACGTAAACCAGAAATGACCTCCAATGGAGACACCCTAACAATCTTTTCTTGGAGGTTTCCTTCTTCTTTTGAATTTCTTTTGGATTTTTTTAGTATTCTTCTTTTTCTCCCGGAGAGTCTTTAGATTTCTTTCGGATTTCTCGGCTCTCTTTGTCGGTAGTACATAGAATAAACAATTTAAAGACAGCTAAAGAGAAAATTCGAAGATTATTTTAACTCGGGAGAAACCGTTGAGTGATATAATAAAGATTACAATTTATATGAAAAAAATAATGATTACTATATGATAACAATCTCGATTTCTCTTTCTCTTTCTTTCTCGCTCTTGCAGCTTGTCCTCCGTCGCTCTTCGTGGTTCTCTCCACGCATGCATCATTTTCTCTGCGTGTTTCTCGTCTCCTCTAGTGTATCATTGTTTTACTGTCAAGTTGCTCAACTCCTTTATTGGTGTTTCTACACTCGTTACATTCCTATTCGAGAACGTCATGGCTGTGTTCGTGGTGTCGTTTATATGTCGAATGTGTCTTGTAACATTTCGCTGTTCTCTTTTATCGTTCGTTTCGAACTCATTTCGGTCTCCTGCGGGAGACAGATCTCTTTCCTCTTCGTTCTCCAGCGCGTCCTCCATTTCCGTTTTACTTCTTTCCTCATCGTTTGGGATTTTATCGGCGTAGGCCCGGCGGAATCGTAAAAGCGCGGCGCGAGGAAAGATACGCAGTGTCAAAGCAGGTTTTGTGAGATCCAAATAGCGTATAAGCTTTACGAGATAGTGAATTTACGTTGCCTCATAAAAAGAGAATCGTGGGCGGCTGTTTCCATTCTGATTTTGTCGTTGTTGAAGGCTTGATGATTTGTCATGGCATGCGACAAGGGTTGTTTGTTGAGGTTTTGTTTTTGATTCACTAGGTTGCTTTTTATAGTTTCCACGTGCAATTCGTTGTTACATTGTTTCGTAGCAGATTTTCAAGTCTCCATATTTATATGAATACGCAAAATTGTTATTCACGGATCTCTGGATTCGAGAATCATAGAATTTTGTTTGAAAACTTATAAAGATAATAATTTGTAGATTTAATAATTCAGCGATTTGATAAATTTAAGTATCCCAGGATTTGCTGGTTTTTAAATCATGACATCCATTATATTATATTTAGAGTGAAAAACACACAAATATTCAAAAAGGTGCGAAAATTTAAAGATCCAAGGATTAAGAATTTTGAAAATTGAATGAGGATTGGGCTGCAGATCTTTTAAAAATATATTTAGGGTTTTTGTATTCAGATCTTTCGATACACAGTTAACGCGATGAGTTAATTACTTGCCACCAAAGATATAAGTCTGCAAAACAACCGGTTATCGATGGAACTCGTCTTCCGCCATCTGGCGGAGGGTGGTAAGAAGCGAGTAGAAAACTACCCTTAAATGGTAGTTAGAGAATACCGGCGGAGACCGTAACTGCCGTGTTTGCTCGACGTTCGATATTGCTTGCCGGATTTTTTGCCTCGTAGAATCCTGACGTGATACAGATGGCAGCTTATGTAAAAACAACCCTCTTGAAGGGATTACTGAGCTTGATCCGCGGTACCTTAATCCTTTTTAAACCACGTTTGCGAAACTTGTTCCTAATTTTTTTAAATTTATAGTAAAAAGCTATCTAACGAAGCTTCCAATTAAGAATTTTTTGTTAGCGAATCTTACTTTTTAACAAAAATGCCTTGCTGAGCAAACTTTGGAAAGAAATAAAATAAAATATTTTTTCTAATGTTTTCACAATTATTAATATTTTAATTTTGCGAATTAATATTTTTAATTATTTCAAATATTGCAATACCAAAGTCAAATTATCTTATCTTTAGAAGAAGATAAAATAAAATACGTATATTTTGTTTTATTTTTTTGAAACAATGAAAGTTATAATTTCCGAATTAATATTTTTGATTATTCCAAATATTGCACCGCCAAAGTTGAATCACCTCACATCTAACATCAAATATCCTTAATTAAATCCGACATTAAATTTCTTCTAATGAAAACTCGCACACAATTTGCACGATTTTTGCCTTTTCTGGGACACTCTGTGCTCATCAGCCTCGTTCTATTTTTTTCCTGGTCGCATTCGTAATTTGCTTAATTTCTGAGTGGAAATCCTCTCTCAGGCGAGAGCGCAAACCAAAATTTCCGTCGTCATTAAACAAGATTCGCATCATATGAGAAAAGGGGATTGGGACGAGGGTGGCGGGAGCCAGTTCTCGCGACATTGTTAGTTTAATTATGTCTCCTTGGCGCATGGAAACGCGCCTGCGGGCTAAGGCTTCCGTTGACGTTTTTGGCCGATCGCCAACCAGGGTACCTCCTCATGCATGCCATGGAGATACGCCCGCGACGAGAACCCCTTGACATTTTCCGCGGATTGAGTAATCGCTGCATGGGAAATACGGAGATGGGCCAATCGAATGGATACACGATACCCGTGTGCACAAGTGATGCGTTTGATATCGTTGCACAAACGCATACTCTCAATCGCATACAAACAATTCTATATTGTTTCAATCAACGTGGCAATGTTATTCTCAAATATTTAAAAATCTAAATTACTCGTACGCGAAATACCTATATCTGTCATTGTCATTTATTTTTGATAACCGTTCATAAATATTTATTTTTGAGTTACACAATGGTTCAGTCGCGCCCGATTGTTTATTGTTTTCTCATCAAGTACTTGGAAACCGTCCGGTATCTCTTTGATGTAAAATTACGATAGAGCGACATGTTTTGTTAACCGCGAAAGGATTAAAGAGAAGATACCAGCGGAAAAACGAAAACGTCAGGGTGTATTTAGGACAGTGTGGAACAGCGTGTACGTGTAAACGTGTGTTTACGTTCTGATTACGCGAATACATACGTTTTTTTCCGCTCCTTATCATGTTTTTAATTACAACAAATTTAGACGTGCGGGCAATACTTTTTCTCATAGCTGCAAGAATTGAATTTTTGCTCGGGATCGTGTATCTCTTTGAAAGAGACTTTTTGCAACGTGCATGGGTTTTTTTTACGTTTCGATTTCTTTTTTTTCTGTCTCATTGCTTTAATATAAAAGACGGTGCCAGATGCAGACGTTCCAACGTAGTTATATATATATATACTGAAAATACATCAGTTTGTTATTTCGTTTTCTATTTGGGGTGTATACCTCGCCTGTTTTTTTTTTAACGAATTTACTATCTCGAAATTTTTGTCCTGGAATTTTCGATTTGATTTATTTATTTAATATTTTATATTTTTTGGAAAAAAATACATTTTAAGTATATAACTATTATTAATGTATAAAAAATTGTTTTAATATAACACCATATAATCATATATTTTTTCAATACTCGATTGTGAATTGATATAAAATAAATTAATCTACAGATCGTAATTCTTTATTTATTATTGAAAAATTAAGATATTAAAAAAAATTTAAAATAGTTAATTATTTTTCGACCAACAATGAAACGTTGACAATATATAATTTTTTAATGCTTATCTAAATCAAAATAGAGTCGCGAATTAACTTTTAATATTTTTATATGAATAATAATCTTTTCCGAGTAAATATACTTAAAAATTATTAGTTTAAAATGCAAAAATGACAGCAAACACCTGCCGGCGGGAACGTGCAAGATGCTTATCTGCAGTTTGCTCGAACATTATGGAAGGCGCGTATGTGTTAGAACGTATAACGCTGCAGAATTTTCCAGAATTTTCTATCTCTTGCTTATATAGCGACTGGAAGAAAAAGTAACTTTCAAATGGCTTGAGGCGCGAGATTTCTGCTGA